AGCCTTCCTGGATTCTTGTTCATCAGGCTCCACGAGACTTGGCGTGAGAACGTCATTACTTTGGCTTCCTTTAGAGTGATTTATGTTTGTAAAAGTAACTTTTACTCTTTTTTTGCCTTATTTCCTCTTTCCTTTCTGTGGGGGAGTGGCACTTGAATGTGGTTGCTGTCTAGTTTGTCTCAGTGCTTCCTATTTAGACTGAATTTATTCATTCTCATTCATGTACTTAAGTGTAATTCTTTTTGATGCTGTAAGACCAAGTTCTTTTAAAAATGGAATCACTATACTTTGATAAAATATCCACAAAGCAATTAGGTAGGGGTAGTAAGAAGAATCGGTGCACCTAATTTTGCATTAGAAAACTGTTACCAGAGACCATATTTCAACAATAATGCTTGTGAAAAAATTGGATTATATTGCCAAATATTACAAATTATTTACAGAATATTCAAATTGACCAGTTTTATGTTATTACAGAATTTTCAAATAGCATTCCTGTTAGCTGCCTATTTAAGTTGCATTTCATCCTAGGGTTTTTTTCAGTAATATCAGGAAAAAAAAAGAAACAAGAAAAACATGGGAGGAAAGCTGTAAATCCGACCGTGGGGGCAGTGAACCTGTCACTGCTTTCGGAAACTGTATCCTCTCTCCTGGGACTTCTGTGGCCTCTGGTGTGATGCTGGCCAGCAAAGGCCCTGTGTTTAGACCCTTTCATCTCTACTTCATTTGACCCTGACATTCCCTGGCACTTCTCTCTCTGTAACCATTCATTTCTTGATTCCTTTGAAGGTGATTTGATAATTTCTCCCTACCAGTATTGAAATCTGTTCTTGGGATGGTGAAATACATAGGCAGATTTTCTGATCTGAAAGTTGAGTCAATCTTATGTTTTGGGGATAAGCCCTAACCCATATGAAAGCGGGGGTTGAGGGAGAAAGTGAGAGAGGGAGGGAGGGGCAGAGATAAACAGAAATGAATTTTCAACCACCTTCTTATAAATAAAGTTGGCCTATGAGTTTCTTTTCTCATATTCTTTCAGCCTCGGTGTGAAACTTAGAAACATCCTAATTGCCTCAAACTGAGTTGAGGAGGTTGGCTCTGTGCCTGAATGGTGTCTGTATGCTTGGGGTTGTGTGTCCCGAAGGATTTGGGGAAATTTGCATGTGCCACTGAGGCTGTTGTTTCTGGCGTCCTGTACCTGGGAGCTCATTATGCATCCTTTTAGGTGTTTGAAACTGTAGCAACAACTCAATGTGACAAAATGTATTTTTAAAATTGATACAGATAGACGTGTGATGTGTGCAGAGGGAGAGGGGAGGGAACTTGATAGCACTGGAGATGTCGGAGAAAAAAGCACTGATTTAGGGAAGGGGTCAAAGAGGAGCAGTGGCTTGGGATTGAAGCATTGAAAAGAGAGTAGGTTGCTTTTGCTGTGACCACCAGGGGCCCTTGAGAGGAGAGGGCCTGGTGCCCCGTTTGCACGTGGAGAGATGGGCTGGGGCAGGCACTTTATCCCAGGCCCTTGTGGAATGCAGGGAGGTGGAAGGTGCAGCAGTAGGGGAAGGAGAGGTAGGCAGAAAGCCTGCAGTGATGCGCCAGCAAGCAGGGTACCAGCTTGAGCCCAGCTGGTGTTAGCTGTACGCAGGCCCCATTGTGTTAGAGAAGGTCATTAGACTTTTGGAGAAGGAAATTCTGAGGACCCTTAGAGACTTCCACACTGTTGCTTCATTTTCCCCTCTTCACACCTGAGGGTGTTTTAGGAAGCAGGGAACTGCCTTGCTGTCACTCAGCCCTGGACACAAGCCTGGAATACAGCACTCACCTTGCTTCCTCGTGGCTGCCCTCTTCCCCTTCTAACTGAAATGAAAGGTGAATGCCATGTGAAGTCAGTTAACTGGTTTGTTACTTTTTACCTTTTTGAAATTTTTATTTATTTTTACTTTTATTTGAAAGGAGGAGAGAGAGAGAGATCTAACATCTGCTGGTTCACAATTCAGATGCTTGCAACAACAGCAAGGTCTGGCCTGGAAGAAACCTGTTTTCCAAAACTCCATGAATTCCCATGCCAGTGCCAGGGACCTGGTTACTGGAGCCATCCTCTGCCCCCCGTGGAGTGCATGCGCAGGAAACAGGATCGAAAGCAGAGGAGTCAGGACCTGAAGGGGACACTCCAATGCAGGCACCCCAAGTGGTGACCTGTCTAAACCACTGTGCCAAGTACCCAGCCCCTGATATTTTTCTGTAACCGTTTCTCCCCTTGCAGGAAGCTCAGCCCTCAGCCCTCTGTACATGATTTGAAGGCCCCAGCAGGAGTGCCCAGCTCTCGAGGCTGTGAGCTGTGCACAGAGCAGGAGGCCCCCACTCAGGAGCCCAGGACTCTGGCTCTGGTGGGGCTCTCTGCCTATGATTTCCTGTGTGAGTGATGGAAGTCTTGAACTTGAGCATCTTTATGGGTACTTTTAGGTCTCAGTGACATTTACCCATGGCTCTGGGGCCAGCCTGCCACTGGGGATGTTTCTTGGGCAGGACTCTGAGCCCAGTGTCTTTCCCTGATGCCAGCCTTACCTCCTTACATCTGAGACTCAGTTATCACTTTTCTCTTCATTTCATCTGGAAACTCTGTTAATTTGTGCCCCTGGTTTCATCTGTGGTCAGTGACCTGGCCACTGTGTCGTCTTTACCATCTTCATAGCCGCTTCCTGAATTTTATGGTTTTCAGGGCTTGGTTTTCTTAAATCTAACGTTCTCATCTGCATTGTCTACTTTTTCTTTTTCTTTCTTTCTTTCTTTTTTTTTTTTTGGACAGGCAGAGTGGACAGTGAGAGAGAGAGAGACAGAGAGAAAGGTCTTCCTTTGCCGTTGGTTCACCCTCCAATGGCTGCCGCGGCCGGCGCACCGCGCTGATCCGATGGCAGGAGCCAGGCGCTTCTCCTGGTCTCCCATGTGGGTGCAGGGCCCAAGCACTTGGGCCATCCTCCACTGCACTCCCGGGCCACAGCAGAGAGCTGGCCTGGAAGAGGGGCAACCGGGAGAGAATCCGGCGCCCCGACCGGGACTAGAACCTGGTGTGCTGGTGCGGTAAGGCGGAGGATTAGCCTAGTGAGCCGCGGCACCGACCCATTGTCTACTTTTTCTAAACCATCCTTCCTATCAGTGGCGCATCCGTATTCCTAAGATACTTGCTTCCAATGGGTCAAGTGCTTAAAAAAATTTTCCAAAAATGAAATCAGTCCAAACTTCTTACTCTGGATGTAGATTTTTTCCAGTGCATATCTAAACACGCCTTCCCATAGTTTCTTAGGTTGCTGGCACATTTTTTCTTTTCTCCCTTTTCTTTTCAGTTAACTTTTTCTATCAGTAGATATTAGTTGTACATCTTTACGGGGTACCCTAATATTTTGACACATTCGTATGTTGTGCATTGATCAATGCAGACTGTGCGAATTCTCCTTAATTCGGCTACTCTTGGGCTGGCTCATTCCTTTCCCACGTGTATTACTGCCTCCTGCATTTAAGGCACTTCAGTGAGCCTCACAGAGATAACTTGATGGAGTGGAGATGAGTTACACCTGTCAGGGCCAGAGGGCTGCCATGGTCGTCCATGTCGCCCTCTTGGTTCCTCCACTAGCACAGTTATCCTGTAGGCCTGTCATCAGATTGTCCCTTCTGTTTTACCTGTGCTTCCAATCATCTCTCTCTCTTCTGCAATTCCTGTAGCCTTACCTGTGATCACATTGCATTTACAGGTGTGCTGCTTAAAGAGGATATTAATGTTTCCCTGTTAGTACTTTTTAAGGCTCTAATTTTTGTTTTAATGGACTTTCTTATAAAAATGATGTTTATAAAGTTTATATAAAATACTAAAAAATCAAGTTATCATGTATATTAAAATTTAAAAACCACATACAGGTCTCCTTAGGGCTCAGCTATGGTTTCCTTTAAGAGAAAATAACTTTCAGCTGATATTATTTCCCCCCCACAATCCTATAGTAAAGACGTGCTTATTACAGAGATCTTTCGTCCTAAAAGGATGTCATTCATATCATAAAACTTTCTACAGGACGTGCTGTGGGCTGCGGGAATCTTTCCATGTTCGACCTGTTTCTAGCATCAGCATTTGTTGTTGAAGAGATTACGTCCTGGCCTGCATGCTTTTTCCCCAAGCCAGTAACTTTATTTTGAGCGTTGTCTTGTGCCTGTTTGGTTCAATATGCTATATCCTTCAGATACTGAATCCAAGCAAAGAAAAGACAACAGAGAACATGGTTGACGGTCCAAGATGCGGTCCCATATCCCACAGTGGCACACAGCTCATCGGTCTGCTTTCTTTGCCAGCCGTGAGCTAGCGAAAGTTGCAGAAATGGCTGCTGAAGCACCTGCTAGCACTCTCCATATATTGTCATTTCATAACTGGTCTCTGAGCTGGGGGCCGTCTAATAGGAATTAACAAGGCTTATAAAAAAAACCGTCACTGTAGAGTGGCCGTTCCTGATGTCCCTTAGAAAAGATGTAAATGAGACCTAGAAGTGACTGGATTTCTCATCTAGAAAGACTGAATGTGTTTAAGAACCCAATCGTCGGTGCAAACTAGAAACCCAACGGACGGGCACATGGTGCGTGTGCTTTGTCCTTCGCGATTCTGCAGTCTTGAGCGCTTTCCAGTCGCTTGCACAGGAAATGGTCTTGGTTGCATTCAGCGGTCCTCTGATGAGACCTGCGGGTGCTGTTATATTTTCGGCCCAGCCCAGAGCCAAAAGGAGAAATGCACGTGAGCCTGGTGAATCACCCGCCTGCTCTTCCCTGGATGACCACCCTGTGTTTCACACCTTCTCAGCGAGGGTTACGTGACATCCTGGTGACAGCCTCCTGTGGCCCTGGAACGCTCGCATCGGCGGCCCTGCCGATCCTCTCTGAAGTGTAATGTTTGCTACTGATGTGCACGCTCTCTGGTCCGCAGAGGAAAATTCACTCATTGTTGTCTTTTTATTTCTTCTGTTTAGAAATTGGCCCCTGGTTGCGCGAGTTCAGAGCGAAGAATGCTGTGGATTTCTCGCAGTTAACATTTGATCCAGGACAGAAAGAACTTGTTGTAGGAGCAAGGTGAGAGATACTGCGTTTTGCCGCTGGAGATGTTGTCACATTTCATTTTGCATCTGAGCAGGTACACGTGAGCTTCTGTGTCACGATTGGAGGGTGTGAATATTGCTGTTTGTTGTAAGAATGCAACACAGTGTGAGGTACATGACTGATAACAGGATCATTGATAGGCTTGGTAGCAAGCATTGGCGGGGCCCTCACCAGGGGCTAGGAGCTGTTGTAATGGAACCGACTTATTTCCTGCTCCCATCAACCCCACAAAGCGGGTACTATCATCTCCATTTTAGAAATGACGACAGAGGCAGAATGTGGAGAAATACTTTGTCCAAAAGCAGGTGCCTCATACAAGAGGAGCCCAGGCTTCAGACTGAGGAAGGTCGATTGCAGAAGCTGTGTGCTTATCTTCTCCCTCTGTTTCTTAGGAACATGCTGGTGACTTGATGCACGGTCCCACACTCATCCTTACCTCTTTGTGACCTTGGCCAAGCCATCCACCAGTGAATTGAGAATGAGAGAGAGGGAGTGCTCTTTTGCATCTCCGTCTCTTCGGAATGCGCGTGGGCCTGTGTCCCAGTCAACATCTGCTTCCCAGCTTGGCACTGAGGCCCTTGGGACACAGTCAGAACAGATGTTGGGTTGTTTGCCTCTTATTTCCTCCCCATGCAAACACGCATAGTCCCTGCCTCCAGTCACCGGAGCTGCCACTGCATCCTGGCGATGAGAGTCATGAAAAAGCTATTTCCACCTTCTGGGACAGTTGGCTTGAAGAAGGAGACCCTGTAAAGCTTTGGATTCTTCGGGTTTTCCGGAAGCACCGTGAGCAGTGCAGCACTTGGGTTTCCTAGGAATACGCGTGCATGGCTGCGGAGGGTGTGCGATGCCCACACAGCTGACAAGCTGCCCGAGTCTCTGCTCCAGGCACTCGAGACACTGGGCAGTTTCTAGAATCGTTGCCTTTGCTCTCCGGTCTTATGGAGTTCTTGTCCATCTACCCGGTTCTTGATGATGTTGTGATGCATGGTTGAACGTCAAATGAATAAGTAGGGACCAGCATCGTGGTGCCGTGGGTTAGGCTGCCACGTGCAGTGCCAGCGTCCTGCATGGGCACCGGTTTGAGTCCCAGCTGCTCTACTTCCAATCCAGCTCCCTGCTAAGGTGCCTGGGAAAGCAGCAGAAAATGGCCCAAGTCCTTGTGTCCCTGCCAGCCCTGTGGGAGACTAGGGTGGAGTTTCTGGCTCCTGGCTTCTCCTGGCCCAGCCATGGCTATTGCAGACAATGGAGAAGTTAACCAGTAGATGGAAGAGGCCTGTCAATCTGTCTGTCTCTCTCTCCTACTGCTCTCTCTGTAACTCTGCCCTTCAAGCAAACAGATATATCTGTTTGTATAGATAGATATAGATATAGATATAAAATTAGTGAATAAATAGAAGTTGGCTTTGCTTCTGGCATGGAAGAAATCAACTAAGCTTCATTTGGTCTTGTGAAGCGAAAGCCTGTGTGCATTGGCGGTGTTACTTGGGGTCCTTCTAAGAGCCTTGCTGGGGGTTTCAGATGCTGACAGCCCAGGGACTGCATCAGGTGTTAAGCTCGATGTGTCCTCTGGATTCTCTCCTCCTCCTGCATAGCACAGTCAGCATGGCATTTTCACAGTGCCTGCTCCCTGTAGCCCCCACTGGGTAAACACTGGCTCCTGGGTGTGGCCCACCAGTGCCTTTGAATGAGGTACCGCATTCCTTAGATTGACTTTTTATCAATTTACTTTTTTTAAAAGCACATGGCATTATTTATGTTGCTCAAAAGCACATGTTCCTTTGTCTTGACTCTGGTGCTTGTGACCTCTCTTCTGTTTTCTGGAAGGCCACTGCTCACCTCCAGCCCTGCTGGCTCCCTGAGCCTTTAGTGCGCTACAGTACTCACTGCAGGGCACTGCATTACTTGCTCGTAGGTGGTAGGACACGTGTTGAGCTCTTCATTTCTCCAGAAGGTAGCATGTTTTTTCCTCCTCAGGGAAGCTCTACAATGTCTGTGGACTGAACATATTTTATTTACAGGGTGTGTGTCCCTCTGCTTGTTTGTAGCAGGGGAAAATGGTCAGTATTGTGGCATGTTTACTCCAGATGCCTACATTTGGGAAAAGATAGGATGTGGCAGGCTCTATACCCTAGAGCTCACCCTTGGGGACCATGACCTCTCACCCTGAGCCGAGGGAACAAGCCGCCCTGCTAGGGGAGCAGAGAGAAGTGCGATCCACCTAGTCGAGCCGCACCTGCCACTCCTCGTTCATTGCTAAGGAGCTTTGCAAAGGGCTTCCGCGTGGCCTTGACTCAGCAGACCCTCATTGTCTCTGGAGCTCTGTGGTGTGTGGGAATAGACCTGCGTCTCGTACCTGGCAGGAGGTGACCTACTTGTCAGTGGCTCAGTATTCTCCCAGGGGTGTGAGAAAGCGTGGAGAACTCTGGGGACTGTGCAGAGATACGTTCCTGCCCACGTTGGAAACAGCGACTGGAAGGTGCTCCCATGGGAATGCCTTTTTCCTCCAGGTCTCTCGGGGTGCCGGGAGCCTCCACCCCATTGTCCCTGGAGGTCTGCTTCCCACTGTCTGTGAAGACATCACCCCAACACCCCCTAGAGTTTCCATCCATCTCCTCTCATCGAGGGTCCCAGCTCCTCCATGCTGGGAGGGATTGGGCCAGCCCTGTGTCAACCTAGCTGCAGTATAACGTTGTGTCCAGGGGGGAACATGTGAGATTGCCAGACTTAGCGAATAACAGTGCAGGGTGCCCAGTTCGCTTTGAATCTCAGATAAGCAGTGTAGAGCACCGTGTCATGATTATGTCTCAGGCACCTAAGGCCCCGCTGGCGTGCACTGCAGTTTCTGTTCTCACACAGTGGGGGATGTGTTGCAGACACCTGCTGAATGTGTCAGGAAAGGAAGAGCATGCCTGCTTAGCTGATGGACGCTGAGGCACAGAGCCCACTTTTCTCATGTTTGAGGTCGGTATGAGCATGTCCACCCTTTCAGCTGGTGCCAGGATTAAATGGAATTACCCAGAACAAGCGATGGCCACGTGAGCAGGCACCACCAGCAGTTAGTGCTAGCGAAATCCAGAGGATCTCTGAGGGTCTTGTGTGGGGAGCAACTCGGACTAGACTAAGTTACTGGAATTAAGACTTATTCTGTGCATCTGCTCTCCCACAATATGGCGCTGGGAGAGGAGTAAACAACTTCTACACAGCTGCCTCTCGCCAGTTTGACTGATGAGCTGCAGGAGCTGATCTTGCTCCTGATTGGAGGAGAGCAGCGTGATCGGCATGTGGGTAGCAGAGTTGGGATTGGCGGAAGAGGACTATAAAGGAGGAGAGAGACAACATGCACCAGGAACATCCGGATAACATCTGAGCAGCCCCCGAGAGAGCCGGCCGGCGGTGTGCCGCTCCTCCGCGGAAGTGGGGAAAGTGGCAGGGGGAGCCGCCCCTCCACGGAGGTGGAGGGGTCGGTAGCCAACCCGGGAAGGACCAGCAGCAAACCCGGGGAGGGCCGAGCAGATGAAAGAACAGCGCAGGGTCCTGTGTCGTTCCTCTGTGAAGAGGGGGAACGACAGTCTTGTCGTCTGTGTGCGTATGCATTCAGGCAGATATTGCTGAGGGAAGAGTGTAGCATTTCCACCTAGGAGATGTGGTGTGATTAAGATCACAAAGTTTGAGAGGGGGTGTCAGCCAGCCGCAACACTTTAAAAATAGCCCAGCCCTCAGATTCCTGTTTGAGAAGGCTTGACCTAGCAAGAGAAGTTTAGATAACAGGTGTAAGTTTCAGAAATTTGCAATGCTTTAAAAAGCTGAGCTGTGGGAAACCAGAATGATGCATTTCATGGTTTCATAGCACTGGGCATTGCGAGCCAGCGATTGGATGGTTTCACTTTATACCCATGATGCTGTGTGCTCATGAAGCTGAATTCAGCCAAGGAGTCCGTGCGCTCTTTGATAAGGGGAGCCCATTGTGCTGCAAAGGAAAACTTTCTCTTTAGGGGACCTGTGGGTTCTCGGATCTGAATTCATGCCATTCCTGGAAGAACCTGGACATTTTCCTGTTTTCCAGCTGCTCACTATCTTTTATGTTATTTTAAATGCATTGACACTCGTATCTTGTTTCACCCAGCCTCCTTAAAAGTTAATAATGTTTGTGTTTTCAGTGATCAAACTTGGGCATCTTCATTTTAGAAAATGTACAAAATAACAGAGCATAAAGGAGAAGCACAGGTTCGAAGATAATCACTGTTAACCTCTTCAGTTACTTCCATAAATTACTGGGGTTCTCTTTGTATCTACTCTTGAGAAAACAGTTTTTGAATGAATGTAGACGTTTTTGTTATAAAACCTGCTAAGCCAGTTTCCATGGTATAAAAAATATGAAAAACAAGGTGAAAGAATATGTTGGCTTAGAATTTTATTTTAATGGAATTTACCTTTATTTGTTTGAAGGCAGATTGAGACAGAGACAGATCTCAGGCACTGTTTGCCTCCGTGCATCTCTGCAGCGGCCAGTCCTGCGCCAGGCCCCGCTGGGAGTTGGGAATGCAATGCAGATCTCCCACGTGGTCGGCAGTGACCTCCTAACTCAGCCTTCCCCAGGCTCCCAGGGTACTCATTGGCGAGGAGCAGGAGCCAAGGTCCAGGATCCTGTCCAGGACTCAAACCCAGGCAGTCAGTGGGGGTTGTGTGCATCACAAGCAGATTCTTAACTCCTGTACCAAATGCCCGCCCCAGTTTAGAGTTTTTGTAGAGATCATTATAGAAGTAATGACAGTAATAACCCTCTAGCAACTTGATAGAGCTGTAAGCAACAGATGTAAGAGAGCGCAATTGCGTTTTTATTTTCCGAGTGCGTTTGTTTTTCTTGAGTGTTTCAGGTTCATTCCAAGGGTTCCATCCTGAATCACTCTGATATGTGTTCTCTGCAACATTCAAAATTTTATTCCAAAATGCAACTAACTTGGTCCACATAT